TAAAGGTAGATGTTATTTGTTATGAAATCATTGAGAACTGAATTTATAGCTTTTTTTTTGGATTATCTTCCAGGAACTTAATCTTTTGGGCGATGACGCGAAAGTTTACAAGTTAATTGGTCCTGTACTGGTCAAGCAAGATCTTGCTGAAGCGAAACAGAATGTTGAAAAACGTATCGATTATATCACTTCAGAAATGTAAGTCTTCTAAACACATGTTTATCAGCGCAGGGCTCTAACCTAATGATGGAACTGTGCGGACTTTTTGGTGAGGATAGTGAAGTTTGTGAAAACTGTTAGCAGTTATGATTACAAAGCTATAGTCCTTTGGTGACGCGCACCAGGGAGCCTGTGCGATCATGCATTTTTGCACTATCTCGTGCTCTAGTAAGATCGCTTGAAATGGCAATACGTGGAATTTGTGACATACTGGTCCTCAAACTTCAGAAAGTTAATTGTTACAACTACCATGTAGTATTTAAAAAATGAACATTCTGTTAAAATTTCAGCTTTCTTGGTTCCCAAGTTGGCGATTTTCCCGCCAAAAATTTTCAAAGGGCCACATGTGAGAGCCACGCATGCCTTGGGGGCAGAGTTTGAAATTTTGGATTCCACGTGGTCGGAGATGACCTCGCAAAATTTCAGCTTCTCAGCTTTTCTGGTTTCCGAGTTAGCGATTTTCCCCCAAAAAACTTTCACTGGGGCGCACTTGAGCACTGTGCATAACGGAGAGCTGAATTTAAAATTTTTAAGTTGTACGTGGGTTGGGAACATTTCCTGGAAATTTCAGCCTCCCAACTCTTTCTGCCCTCGAGTTGGCGATTTTCCCGCCAAAACTTTCACGTGGTCGTACTTGGGGCTCAGACGTGCATGATGGTCGGTATCGCGGTCCAGGTGTGTGGAACTTGGCCGGGAATCTGCTAGCGAGATTTTGGCGCCAGAGCTTACTTGATTACCGAGCTGAAATACCGGACAGACGCACATACACACATATATATGCATACCCGGTAGTCGTCACAATATGCGTTTTTTACTCGCTGTAGCAGCGCTATAGCGCAGCACAGCAAAAACGCGTAAAAATGGGAGAAGGTGGGGGAGGAGGATGGATCCGTCTTCAGAACTTTTTTGTATTGTAAGCCTAACACCGATTATTGTTGGAAATTAGAATTTTTAGCGCG